AAGTAAGAGATCAGACTGAAGCAAAAATCACCCTTCAGCCATTTACGTTTCCCCCATATAAGCTATAGTGGAATGAGAAGGATTTGGGAAGGCAGAGGTTTAATTTGGAACTATTTACATGGAAGCTTCAAAGGATTATAGTACTTGGCTCACTTGTTCAGACCCACAAACTAAGAAGGATTAGGGAGTGAGGACCCAGATTGTTGGGGGCAATATGCTGACTCTCTGTAAACCGCTTAGAGAGGCCTGAAAGGCCTATGAAGCGGTATATAAGTCTACTGCTATTGCTATTGCTATATATTACCACAGGAAGTCCTAGATGTAGTTCTATTACAGACTATATATTGAATGTGATTTATCAACCAGTTACAAATCCATCTAGTGGTGATGCTGTCTATCTCACATATTTCTAATTTACTAAAAAGTAGGATGTTGTCAAATGCCTTTCTGAAGTCTAGATATACTATGTCCACAGCATTTTTCTGGTCCACTAGATACTTTGTCAAAGAATAAAACAAGATTTATTTGGCATGATCTGTTTTTGACAACCCCGTGTTGGCTTTTGGCTATAATTTAGTTTGTTTGTAGGTACTTGAAAATCTGTTGCTTGATTATGTAAGACACTAGTTTGATTTTGTTTTATTACTCGTGTCTGGATTATATTAATTTCCAATATGATATGGTCACTCTCCCCTAAGGTCCCTAGAACTTCAACCCCCTCTATCATTTCATCTCTGCTAGTGAAAATTAGGTCCAGTATAACTAGCCCACTAGTTCCTTTACCATTTTAGAGACAAAGGTGTCAATTAAGCTCGTAAAGAACCTGTTCAATCTCCCATATGATGCAGAGCTTGTTTTCCAGTTGATGTCAGGGTAGTTAAAGTTCTCCATTACTACTGTCTTATGTTTCCTACATGCATTAGTTAACTGGTTAGCAAAAAGTTCATCTATTTCTTCTGCTTGGTTGGGTAGCCAATAGTATACACCTATGGCAAATTTGGTAAGTACTGCTTCTACCCCCTTCTCTAAACCATTTATGAAGAAGCTGAAGAATATTGGGCCTAAAACAGAACAATGGGGTATTCCACTGCTTACTTTGCCCATGTAGATATAGTTTCATTAAGGACTAGACATCGAGTGTGGTTAGTGAGCCAGTAACAAATCCATGTGGTGGTGATGCTATACAGGTGAAACTTGAAAAATTAGAATATCGTGCAAAAGTTCATTTATTTCAGTAATGCAACTTAAAGGTGAAACTAATATATGAGATGGACTCATTACATGCAAAGGAAGATAGTTCACACCGTGGTGTGTCATAATTGTGATGATTATGACATACAGCTCATGAAAACCCCAAACCCACCATCTCAGAAAATTAGAATATTACATGCAATCAATGAACTTTTGCACAATATTCTAATTTTTTGAGTTTCACCTGTATATCCCACAGTTTTATAGCTTACCAAGAAGTAAACTATT